AAAAAAAAAAAAAAAAAAAAAAAAAAAGACCAAATCCCTTTTCCCTGGAAAGCACCTAGGTAGAATATATACTGAATGTTAGCAGAATAGGCCAGTATAAGAAGAACTTCCTTTTAATTAAACCTCTTGGTTTGAAAGAGACCACTGAGATCTCATTAACAAATGTAACTAACATGTTTCAGGATGAATTATTTGGTGCTCTATAGGAGAAGTCAGGGGACTAGCTTGCAGCTGTAACATATTTTCCCAAATGGATTCCATTACTGGAAAAAGAAAGTACGTCCTCCACCAATAATTTTCATCCACTATATTGCCTGTGTTGACCACAGGTATTTCTCACACAGCAGCAGCCAGTCAGGGAGCTCCCTGAAATTTAAGCTGCAAATGTAGAGAGCATGATCACTGTTTGGTTTCTTTATCCCAGCCTTATTCTTGGTTGAATCAAGTGGATGGTAAACTCTAAGAAACTAAGACCATGCTTAGAAGCAGAGCAAAATAAAAACACATGTTTCCAGTCCCAAATTTTGGAAGTCAGGTGAAAATGCTTTATCTCTCGAGTACAATTAAGTATTTCTGGTACCTCAGAAATAATTGAGCATTTGAAAAACAATCACAAGCAAACACAGGTGTAATGTCAAAATTAGTCTCACAAAATACACCTAGAGTCCCCCCCTTTTTTTTTCAGCCCCTCATAGTTAGAATGACACATTTCTGAAGATGGAATTGCACAACATAAAACAAAATTGTTACCTTTAAGCAACAGGGGCATGAATGGGATTTTGGGTGGTTTCATCTTTTTGAAAGCATCTCTGTAGGCTTTGTGATTCAGGGAAGGATCCTGCCAAACCAAGCAGATGACAAAGAGAAAGAAAAATCAATGTGCTACAGAAACAATTCTAAATCCACTTTTGCTATACAATTTGAACATGATTTAGATATTGAGAGGTTCTTCCTCAGAACAAAGTAGATAAAGGTTTCCTAGGAGAATAAACTCGCTAAATTAGGGCAAGAAATGTAGGCAATGAACGAAAGTCAACTTATTGGTTTACAATAATGGGAAATGACTGCAAAAGAGAGGCATCTTTTGATTGCCCTATTATTTTCCTCAAATAGGTTTCTTAAGTACAGTTTCCTCTGCATAATTTCTATCATGAGGTAACCCCAAAGTCTTTTGTTAGGTACACTGCAAAGAAACACCTCCCTTATAATGCACAGACAATGCACAGAAAGTAAGAGCACATTGTTTTATTGTGTTCTGAAAAGAAACATTAGAAAAAAAAACCCTAAATCTAAGAAATGGTAGAAAGGAGAAAAAGGAGAAAACAGTAATGCATAAGACACTGACCACACACTCCATTTATACCAGTTGATTCTGTAAGCTTTGAAATGGACTAGGTACTTAAAAATCTTCATTGTCCAAATGAGGTCAAAAGGACCATTCTCACTACCTTTTTCCATGGAGAGGAAGAGGCATTAACTGTGCATTCCTTCATTCCTTAAGAAGCAAAGCTACATTTTCATACACAAGTGATGTAGGCTAAGCTACTGTACAACGTGCTGGCCATTACAATCTAGAAGGAAATTTGTTACGATCCATTAATTTGAAGAGTAAGTCCCCTTTGGCTCGCTACTTACTGTTAAACTTTCGAGTTCAGAGAAAAGTTTCTTAAACTTCCCAGGGATTTTCTAAAATCAAACAAACAAAATACAAAAAGGAAAAGGTCAAAGAAGTCAGTTATTTTCAGAGGCACTAGGGGAACTTTTCCTAAGCTGTGCTGGCATGTGTCCCATTTCTGAGCATAAATACCTCTATCATTTGATTCTACGCCACTTGCTTCTCACTAGGCAATCTTCATCATTCTTTAATGTGACATTCCTTGGGAATGTTGCTCAAGACAGTTTAAAATAATGCACAGCTACATGACTCAGGAATCTAGCTGGTCACACATTCCACACACGGGTGATTTTTTAATACAAACTTGAATTTCAGCTCCATATCCCACCTTCGGCGAATGCTCTGGTCTTCTTACAGAGTCTTGCTGAGTGGGAAATAATATTGGCTGACATTTTTTGTCTAAATGATAGAACTGTGTTTCACAGCAGAGGGCTAAATGGTGAAAGGCCATAAAAACTCTAAGTGACAAAGCCTGCACGTCAGTGGGAAGGAACTACTGAATAGTGAAGAGCAACCACATCAACATCATAGAGGGTAGAAACATATGCCATCCTCCCAAATAAAAATTTGGGCCCAAGCAAGAAGCACCTGGGATTTTCCAGCCTAGCTCTGACACGATTAAGGGAAATACTGGATACCTTCCATACTGACTTAGTAGTCAGTCTGAATTTGAATTCCGACTCTGCCCCTTTCTAGCTGCGTGGTTTGCTGTGAGTCCCCACTTGCCCTTCTGTGGTCCAAGTGGAGCCGGTCCAAGACCTTCTTCTCGTTTGCCCGGCCCATTATCTACCAGCCACGGCACTGATGAGTGTCCTGTACATGGTAGGCAGTCAACATGTGCATGAAACGCATGCTGTTGGAACTTAATTATTTCTCCTCTCAATTTCTGCAAATCAAAGCTTCTTTCCAGGTTTAATTCAAATTCCACTTTCTTCTGACCCTTGCTGGCCTTTTCCCTCCTGCTCTGATTGACTGTGGCCTTTGTTGGCCATCTCCTTTCATCTCACAATGTGTGTGCAGGTCGTGTTTGCTTAACCAGGGAAGGCAGGCCTTTCGTTTCTTTTCTTTTGCACTCCTTTAAGGGGCGGTGACCCTGACCCTCAGGTCACCACCATGCATTCCAATGAAGTATGGCCCCTGAAGCAAAGACAGTGAATCCCCGTTATTCAGAGCTCTGAGTTGAGATCTAACGTAAGAAAAAGCTAGCTGGCCTAGGTTGTAGGAGTTTGAATCAGGGGACCATCAGAATGGAGTAGTGACAGGAGCTGAATCAGAGAGGGCTGGAGAGAAACTGAGACCACAGGAATCACATGGAGCTCAGGGTCATAAGGGAGAAAGAAGCCTGAATGGTTAAAGAGAAAAAGATGAGGGAGAGAAAAGGTGCATGCAGTGCGGTAGCCAGTCAGTAGGGAACAGAGAGGCAGAGAAAGAAACAAAAGTCCAAAAAGAAGGTGATGGGGCCCGGGGAGAGGCTGAGAGCCCTGTATCTGTGCCTAGACACATTTAGGGGCATCTCGGTTTCAGTTCTTTTCTCATAGGCCCATTATAGTCTGCGGTTCAGAACTTGGACTAACTTGAGTGGGCCTCTCCACCTTAGAACCGGAATGGCCATTATCACGCAACACTGACAGAGGCAGAGCCCTGACTTGTGAAGCCTGAAACATACTACTTTGCGGGCCCCTCTTTGGAAAAAAGAATACAAAATCACTTTATGTCTGCAAATTTTACAAAGATACACATCCTCCACTGAACACAATGCCAGGGGCAATGCAAGAGAAAGGACCAGAAGCCTACATTCATTAGTATCTCAACAAATCTGCTCTGGACATATGTCATCACTTCGAAAGGACTAGCATGGGACTGTAACCACACTATCATGGCAGCAGGGCAGAAAACAAATATGCATGTGTGTACAATTTATGTTCTATTATATATATAATAGAACCATCCTGAAGACCATGTGATCAAAATAGTTCTACCTGACACATTCATTTTTAACATTTTTTTTGAGTGGTACTTAACCTCATTTAAACCATTTAAGTCAATGTATTTTATTTTTTATTTTTTCAACGTTTATTTATTTTTTTTGGGACAGAGAGAGACAGAGCATGAACGGGGGAGGGGCAGAGAGAGAGGGAGACACAGAATCGGAAACAGGCTCCAGGCTCTGAGCCATCAGCCCAGAGCCTGACACGGGGCTCGAACTCACGGACCGGGAGATCGTGACCTGGCTGAAGTCGGACGCTCAACTGACTGCGCCACCCAGGCGCCCCTAAGTCAATGTATTTTAAATAAAGGCCTTTGGTTGGCATGTTTCCCCTTCAGTTTTATTTGTCCCTATCCCACTTCCCCCTTTCATGTGGGCCCCCAAGGCTCACCTCCCAGGTCTGCGACAGCCGACTCACAGAAGCAGTGTTGAGACCCATCACAATAGCAAAGAAAGAATTCAGGTTTCTCTGGGCTTTGCAGCTACGGAATAAAAGAAAGTACAAGGTACTTGGAGCAACGTGCTTTTGCCAGAAGGCCACAAAAGATAAAGCCCAAAAGACTGTCCTAGGCCACAGAGTTCAATGTCCAGGGCAGGGCTGAACTCTGCCCCATGGCCAACACACATTGACCGCCCCTATGGATGGGGAGTGGTATCCCCTACACTGTTCCTAACACAGGGGACAGATTCCAAATGCTTGGGCTTATCCTTACCTCTAGGGAAAGATCTGTGCTCCTGACACCCCCTAGACGCCTCAGAAGATTCCTCCTTTTAAAATATCTATTTTGGATGACGCATTTAAAATTTCAACTGAAAACTCATGAATTCGTGTTTCTTTATATATAGCAAACTCTCATTATAACAGCTCTCTTGCCCATCTCTTTAATCAGGATGCTGTCTTTATGTTTTGACAGACAAGCCCCTCCCACCTCAGTGGTCCAAGCTTCCCCTCCCATGACATTCAGATGCATTTTCCTTGCTATCAACAAAATAGCTACTGTATTATATATCTATATAAAACATGGCATGTATCATGGGGGATACTGTCCCACATTTCTCATTTAGAGAAAAAAAAGGAGGAAAAAACGCAAAATAAAATCACATTGAGCTCCATTCACTCTGTAAGCTTATCTGTTCTGCATAACGTCAGTCATGCCCTTCAACCTAATTGGTTAAAATTCCACTAACTCTCAAAACCCCCAAAGGGGGCTAGGTCTCCCAGTTCAGCCAGGACAGCCTGTGAGTTGAGGACACTCCTTTTTCTGGGGTGCATTAAAAAAACACTTCTCTGAGACTAGTTTTTAAAATTAAGAAATCACTCTAATTTGATAAATATGAAGAAATATGAAAATGCTCAACAGTAAGCCAGTGCATAAAACACTACCTGGTGTATAATAACTTAGCTTGTACCAGATGCTGTCTCTCCCATCACATCTTCACCAATATCTTAGATGGAACTTGGGAACAGTGTATATATAACTCTGTATCCTGCTTCTTCAATTATACTCTGATACAGTATATATTATGAATTCTTCCCAATCATCAATGGTTCTATAACTTCATCAAAAATATATTTCATGATGTGTTTACTTATTGCCTTATTATTGACATTTAAGTTATTCTCAATTCAATACAGAATGCAACAATGAGTATCCCTGTGTATAAAACTTTTCAACTGTATTTATAGGTTTCTTGTTGTTGTTGTTGTTGTTGCTGTTTTTGTTGTTGTTGTTGTTTTGAGAGAGAGAGAGCATGTGCACAGGCAGGAGAAGGGTGGAGAGAGAGGGGAGAGAGAATCCCAAGCAGGCTCCAAGTTCTGCGTTGAGCCTGATGCAGGCCTTGATCTCATGACCTCACTGAAATCAAGAGTTGGATGCTTAACCAACTGAGCCTCCCAGGTGCCCCTATCTATCGTTCTTTTAATTAAGTTAGACCTCCAGTCATTACATGATTGGTCAAAAGCTATCCTTGAACTTAAAGGTTCTGGTAAAAACTGTCCCCAGAAACTGTACTGCTTTCCAGTGACACAGACTGGGTATAAAAGTATCTAGTTTAGAACCAGAAGAATGCTTGGGGTTGTGGCAGGACCCCCATGGGGTTGTGTATGTGGGGCACATACACAGCTGCATGTGCCCTGGCAGGTCCTCCCTAAGTGGCCTGCTCCTAGTCCCAGCCCCATGGGCTAGATACTGCCCAATATAGCTGTGCCTGGGCTCCAGGGCAGAGAAGGTCAATCGGGGAGCATTTCGAAGTTCCATCCCCATTAATTGTGGAACCTGGAAAGGTGCTGCTGTCTCCATACCTAGGGTCCAGAATATGTGGGGTGGACACAGTCCTGCAGGACCCCCCACTGCTGGGTCTCCATGGGCCCAGTGCCTGCAGTTAGAGGGGAGGCAAGAGGACTCAAGACTCAGTCTGATTGGTCACTTCATCTGGTTTCTGCCACCATTCTCCTGGGTGAACGCTATTTGGTATATTCCATGATAAACAAATAAAGATGCCTTCTGGTCAATGATTTAGAAATCCACCTGTTTTTGTAAATCATTGGTGACTAAAGGCATCAATACTTTGACTCTGCTTCCCTTCTGTCATACACTTCCCTCAGTCTACCCTTTCTGTTTCATCACACCCCTGGAAAGTTCACACCAGCCAGGACAGACTTGAGTCAGCTCCACTCCTCTCTCTCGCTTTTTAAAGATTTAAGTAGTCTCTACAGCCAACGTGGGGCTCAAACTTACAACCCTGAGATCAAGAGATCAAGAGTATGCTCTATCAACTGAGTTAGCCAGGCATAACCCCTTCTTTTTCAGTCAGCTCATCTCTTGAAGTGATGATTTGAGGTGAGAGGCTCCTGTGGTCAGCAAGAACTCTCCAGCCCCTACATCACAGCACGTCAGCTGGAGGCTCTTGCTTACTCCCAGGTCCTCTCACATTCCCGGGCTCCACAGTTCTGTGATTCCTCACTAGACATTAAGTTCCTTATGGCTCGAGTATGTACGTATTTCATTTTTATATTCTGCCCGTTACCGGAAAGCCTTGTAGAGAGGCAGCTTTTCACACAGCACTTTCTGGAGTTGAAAACAAGACTCTTGGGGGAAATGGTTTTATCGTTATTCATTATAAAAAGGTTTATTATTCCTCATTTTATTCAACACCATTTATCTATCTGCAATCTTAGATAGAATTCTCATCTTTTTATCTTTAGCTCCCATAAACAATTGTCTTCTTTTTAAGTCATCCTTACAATAATAATTTAAAAAAAAGCACATATAACTAATGTCTGAACCTGTAAGTAGAAAAAATGATTTCTCTAGAAGACAAATTGATACAGTATCAACGCTGGATACCAATCCAGTCTGGAATCCTTTGTTACCCAGGTTCATTCATTCCATGATAAGAACAGACTGACACTGAAACATTCCAGTTTAGCAAACATTCCTTTGTCTGTGTGAGGAAATAAACTCCACTCAAACCACAGAGGTGGGGGATGGGGTTGGTGAGAAGGAAGGGAAACATGAATATGCAAATAGATGCCTTAGGCAAGGGAGACACTTCATGATCATGGAAATTACTGTTTTCCCTTGGTTATTCCTACTAGTGTGATTATGAGGAATTTAACTTTATGTTTCTGTTGGCATTCTATTCCATGGGCTGGGGACAGAGAGACCAGTACAGTAAATAATTCAAGAGCATGGGGCCATAAGGAGAAGATGTGAATATATTTCATTTCCCTGAGGATAGATATAATCTTATAGTGGAACTAAGCTGTGTGGTGTCATTTTACTCCTTGGGACATTAACATCCCGTTTCTCCAAGTAACTGGCATTTATAAGAAAGCTTTTGATCCAAAAGAGCCTCACCTTTATGAATTGCACAGGCTGTTTGGAATACACTGGCCAAATCAAAAAAAGGAACTTTCACCATAAAAACCATCCAAGATGTAGGTGTCTCTGTTATTTCTCTCTCCTCCCATTCTCAGTAACACCAAATACCAGGTTGGGAACTTCCATCATCTCTTGCTGGGTAAACAAAATATCATGCCTGTGGGGTCTCTTTGCCTATAGTTCAGTCTATGTGCTACTTCCAGATCAACCTTCCTGGGGGACAGCTCTGCTCCTATGGGTCTCTTGCACAGACACTTGGTAATGAATCCCTGTCTTCTCAATTCAGTCCAAACTCTTTGACCTGAAATTCAACATCCTTCACAATTTGGTTTTATCTTCCTTTGCAGATCAACCTCCTGCTCTCCCACACCTTTCTTACAAATACCCCTCCACTCTGGCCAAAGTGGATGAGGTTCCTTTCCTTGACCATATGTGGTCTGCCTCCAGTGAGCCCCTCTAACACCCTCTTCCAGTGAGGTTCACCTCCATGGAGAGTGTGAACTGTTGGAATCTTATCCGTCCAGTTCACCCAGATTTCAAATACAGACTTGAATGCTACTTTCTTCATGAATGTTTTTCCAGTCCTCCTTTTCCACGTTGTTGGCCTAAGAGCTTCCCTTCCTCTAAGGCCCCCAACAGAACTTGATCTTGGAACAGGGCACCCCCCCTTCTCTTCTGCACATTAGCCATTTTAATTCTCAAAGCATCCTTTCCAGCACATTGCAGACTCCTCCAAGCCAGGGATTGTGCACAGGGTCAGTGCAGCATGGATCTGCACATGTAATCAATGATCAATATATAGTTCCCGAACGCATTACATGGACATATACTCCAAAACGGTGTGATGTAAAAACTATTTTGGGAGACAAAGGAGAAATAAGATGGGAGGCAGAGGGAACTGGGCAAGATTCTGATTCATGCTGTCTACTTCTGTTGGAAGTTGCCTCAAGAGCAGTCTCAAGATACGAACCTGGTATTTGAAGAGATGCTCCCAGCAAGTTACTCAAATGTCATTCAACTAACCTTTACTGAGTCACTGCTATTTACCAAGTTCTGCACCAGACATCTCAGGTACAATGTTTGCTTAGCAATGGTCCCTGCCCTCTGGAGGCTAACCCAGCCAAGTGAAGGGATTCTACCTAAACACAGAAGTTAAAAAATATAATAAAGAAGCTAAAAGCGAAAAAGCATGTGTGTGAGGGAGAGTGGGATAGGGAATGGCTGATCCTGCATTTGAAAGTCAGGGATGACTTCAGGAAGGAAGCAACATTTGACCTAGGTCTTAGGAATGGCAGCCATTTGTAGGGTGGAAGGGTCATTCTGGCTGAGCCAACAACACATGTCCAGGTTTGGAGGATGGTGTGTATGGGATAGACAGCCATTCACAGTGGCTGCACCCAGGGGGTGTGGCTCAGAGGTCAGCTGGGACTGACCAGTGCAGGGCCTGCTAAAGAGTTCGCCAAGTTCACACCGTGGGCATCAAGCAGTCAAGAGCAGAATCCTCAAATGCACCTCATTTGCAATGATTCTCCCTGCTCACATCACCTTCCCCGTTGCCCCAGGATGGAGCATGTGGGCACTGTGCTGCCTGCTTAATCATCCTGCAGCACAGAGCAGAGGGCTTTAGGCCGGTGTTTTGACACTGTACAGCAGGAATACTTCAAATGCAAAGACATAAATATTCAAGAAGAGACCTTTTCCATCATTTGGTCACTTAACTCAGTATTATACGTTTACCTCCTAACCCTTCTTATCATCACAAGGAAAAAAATGTACTCTCTCAAGGAGACGAGAGGAATTATGCTTTTCAGCGCCAGAACTCACTGCGCAGCGATTTTGATGAATTTCTTCACCAGCTGCACTCGCTTGCCCAGCTGGCCGCAGAGCAGAATCTCCGTGGCCACCCACAGCTGGACTTCATTGCATCTCTGAAGCAGAAGGCTGAGGTTCACGGTGTGCTCCCCGCTTCCTTGTCGGCTGAACGTGAAGTAGATCAGCTCTTGCTGAAAGACAGATTTGTACCAGCATTTATTTTTAGCATAAACACAAGTTGATACAAAAGTTAGTTCATTTTTCAGAGCTACTTCAGGTAGCAGCTCTCACAGCATCACAGGTCTTGAGAATAATAACAATATATTCAATTTGAAACAACGGAGTTTTAGAGAGATCTTATTAAATAATGTTCACCTGGAATCTGCCCATAAATGTTATTTTTAGAATGTGCAGATGATGCCTTTTTACATGAAAATCTAGTAAGTTCTAAAGTTTAAATTATAGGCTGAATCAAATCCAAACTTCCTGAACTTGCTCTATTGGCAAAAACAAGGGAAATGTTTGCCACTAGTATTTGTTAAGATGCACATGAAACTCTCACAGGTAGAGTCTTCTGACAAGGTTCTCAAATTTTAGTGTGAATCAGACACCTAGAGGTCTGTTAAAGCAGATGGTTGGGCCCATCCTCTAAATTTTCTGATTCAGTATGTCTGTGGTAGGGCCAAAACCCTGCATTTATAACAAGATCCCAGGTGGGGCTGATGATGTTGGTCTGGGTACCCACTCTTTGAGAACCACGGATATAAGATATAGTAAAATCATAAACAGAAAGAGAATGATAAGATTACGGCAACGTCCAAAATTTACAAAATTGAGTAAAACCAGCAACTATTTATAGAGACTGACCATGTGCAGAGGAACAGGGAGATTTCCCTGCAGGGAAAGGAACAGGGATGCAGAGAGGAACAGGGGTGCGTCTGCACTGTGTGTTTTGCAGAAGTAATGCCAGTTCTCACACTGAGTAAGCAGTACAAGCAGGGACATGTCCTATTCTATTAACATTTCCAAAGGCACAAATCATTTAGCTTGAATGAGTTCACTACTTGCTCAAACTTAAATTATAGGGGCACCTGGTGGCTCAATCAGTTAAGTGCCTGACTCTTGATTTTGGCTCAGGTTATGGTCTCACAGTTTGTGGGTTCGAGCCCTGCATCAGGCTCTGCACTGACGTGTGGAGCCTGCTTGAGATTGATTCTCTGTCTCCCTCTCTCTCTCTCTGCCCCTCCCCTGCTCACGCGCGTGCACAGGTGCACGTTCTCTCTCTCGCACGCGCGCAAAATAAAATTTAGATTACAATAATGTTGGAATTGTTTTTAACGAGAAAATATGAAGACATTTAAAAGACATTCCAAAATGAAAGTGAAGCTCAAGTCCTCAAGTTGCGCTAGTTCCCTCAGAAGGAAAGGCTGTTTTGTAATGAAACATTTTACTACATGGCAAAGCAAATGCAACCTATGGTTGCAGAGGGCTGTCTCATTTTTCATCTCCTGATTCCTGTGAGCCTTTTCCACTGGCTACATTTATTCCTTAATTGTCAGTAGCATTTTGCCCCTACTATTTTATAAATGTTTAAGCTGTCTTTTAAAGGGAGGGTTGATGAACATAAAAATTTGAAATATATCTCAAAGTTTTCAAGAAAGTACTTTATGTCCTGTAGCATAATCTAAATTTATATAATGTTTTTGAGTAAAAGAATGGCTGTATGTGTATGTAGGTAAGTACATAAATATGGTTCTTGTATACATATAGTCAACTTTACAGAAAAAATAAAAGGATCAGTATTAAAGTCATCAAATGTAAAATGGCTCTTCAACCCCCCTAGAGCTTCATAAACATGCAAATACATATATATCCATACATATAAAAACATAGCATATTTATACTACAGTACATGTATGGTTATATAAGGAACAAATAAAGCACGATCATGTATTCTGATTTTCCTAGGTTTCTGTCAGTCTTTCAATATATTTCAAGTCCCCAAATATCTCTGGGCTATGGTATCCTAAGCATAACTGCATCACCAGATGATGGATCTTCTTAAAACTTAGCCACACACAAATATTCTCCGAAGAAGAATTCACAGTTGAAATAGCACTACCATTTATTTTATCTTTTCACTACTCACTTACCTCGTGGATTGAATTGAAGAGACTCCAATCAAAATTCATTAATTCCAGAGCAAGATCCCAAGTGTTCATTCCCAAAATCCTCATCGACCTTTGCTGTGATTCCTCATTTTCTGCAAATGGGTTCTAAACCAACAGACAGAAGCAAAAGGACCCTCAGCAATTCCCAAATGTTTGGCACTGAACTGGCTGGCCACAGAAAGGCACTAGAAACCCAGATTAGGAAAGGCATCTTGTCTGGGTACACTTAATATTTTCCCTAGTCTGTTCATCTTTGGTAAGATGCAACCAAATTGGGAAACAGCCTTGGAAACAGTAGAATGTGATCAATGATACTTCACTGAGTTAGCCTGCCCCTCCCCCCAACACACACACATACACACATACACACACACGCGCACGCATGCACATGCGCACGCATCTACAAATCTGATTATAAAACACTGCCCCAGCAGACAGCATAATGAAAGCGAAAGCCCTGAAATCACTTTGGCTTCTGGTAAGAATTAATGTGCCAGCAGGTTAGTATAAAAACAAACAAAAGAAATGTCATGGTGCACTTCAATAAAGACAGACATGGCTTTTACAGGAAGTATGTTTAACAAGCCTCATCCCAGACACACATTTACAAGTTTTATTAAAATGCCTGTGGAAAGCGATACAAATTTAAACAAGAAATAAAAAAATAAATGTCACTTCATTTACACCCCATGGTAGATGATTATTTTAAGGATCTGTTGCTTTCCCTACACAAATAGGTATGAGTCTGGTAATACTGTTTCCTTAAAATCTGGCATGAAATTATTAAATGCCACCACGACTTTAAATCTTTGGACACTGTTAAATTTATTAAAAGTTATTTGGCATCTTTTCAAAATATTTGATATTTTCTAATTAAAATGTAAATTCTCCGGGGGCATCTCGGCCGGCTCAGTCAGTAGGACATGTGATCTCATCAGGGTCGTGAGTTTGAGCCCCATGTTGGGGTTAGAGTTTACTTAAAAAAACACACACAATTTGAATAGCTAATGATGTTAAAATTGTTAATGACTTGGGAAAAAAAAGAATGGGACTTTGCAAAATTTAAGGACGTGGCAGGACGAAGGGAATTCAGATTATAAACATTAATTCTTATTTAAAAACTGCAAAATTATTGGCATTTTACAAGGTTTACTGTTATGAAAAGGTTTCCTAACTTGAAAAAAAAAAACAAATGACAGACGACTTTCAGAGAGCTTTTCCACAGATGTGATTCTCTTCAGAGCAGGTCAAGGTTCAAATTGTGCCCGTAGGCCAGAGTGGGACACAGCGTGGTACTTGATGAGGGCGGACTGAGAAAATGCATGCAAATACTGAGGTGCTGAGAGAGGGAAGCCCACCTTTCTCAGGGCCTGATTAGTCTGGAATCAGCCAGATGCCATGCTACACTGTAGGCATTCACAGGGAGAGCCAAGAGCTGGGAAATAACATAAATCTCGGCAAACTAATTTGGAGATTTGGCTTTTTATTCCTCCTCCTTTCTCCCTAAATGCATCCCTCACCCTGGTACTGCCCTCTGGTTGCCCAAGGCTGTCCACAGCCCTCTCCAAGAAACACTTTCTATTTCTCTATCCCACTCATTCAGGGCTCTAACTCCTGCTCTCCAAGAAGATTAATCAATATGTAAATACAGTGCATGCTAGTGGCTCCACATGTTATCCTACCCTTATTAATATTCCGTTTCAACTGAACTCTTTTGGGGATAAAATGCTGAAAGCTGGGGTTCCAACAGGGCAATTTTAGGTGGTGCACAGAGGTGGTGGCGGGAAACATATGAGGGCAAGATGGCACCTGGCTCATCTCGGAACATACTTCAGAGTGAGCACCTACTTATTCCATTAAGACATTGCTCAGGCCTGCCTCCCACTCTTCTGAAGCTGGCTCTGGCCCATGGCGGGAGACAGCTCTAGGTGTGCATGGCAGGGAACTGCAGCCAAGTCTATGGGGAGCACGAGGAAGAAGGGCATGGGAGACAGAGTGTAGGTCTCCTTCGTCACCAGGAGCTCCACAGCAGCCGCAGGGTAGATGGTCCTCCTTTACAGTGAGGACTAAAATCAAGCCAATCTCATTATCTACTCAAGGATGCTGTGAAGCATTGTGTTTGTCACAGTTCATTGACAGAATTACATCATGTACAGACACAGGACCTGCGACCTGCTGAAGGACACTCAGAAGTGGAAAGACCCTAGTAAGACTAAAGTTTTCCTTTCCTTTGCTCCCTCACCACCTACAAAGGAAAGGCATGTGTAATAGCTTCAGAGCCAAATATAACTGGAGTCCTAGCACTTTCCCTTCCTTGGCTGTAGGAAGTGAGAGTAAGTTACTCAGCCTCTCTGAATGTCACAGGATTATTGGCAATGTTACATGAGATACTGTATGTAAATTACTCAGCACCTGTCTGGTACTATGTGCAAAAACTGACTATGATTAATAGTATGGTAGGTTGATACTTGTAGGTAATTTCACATAAAATATTTCTATTATAAGCAGTTTTGGTTAACCAATATGGTGTATACATTCCTCAATTATACATACAACAGGAGTCAGCTAGAAAGAACCAGCTTAGTGATGGCTCCTTGAAGTAGACTGAGACCAAGAGTCTAGATGATACCACCACAATCTGGCAGAGCCTGTCTTTTATGGGTGATGGATCCAAGGCCTGATCCTACCATGCAGAAAGCAACCATAACACTGAGGGTTTTGGGAACATAACGACAAATCATCTGCTTAGGCATAAATATGCTTAAGTTTGAAATGAAAATAACTTACAGAGTGGGTTCTACATTTCTTTAAACTCTTACTCCTTATCTACATCCAAAGTACCATTGTTAGGAGCCTACCTTACATGGGGAAGGCTGATAATCTACCTTTTCTTCCAGGGAAGGGTACATTCAAAGTGCACCAAATGGACTGAAACAAGGATACGGAGTCTCTTTCTCCTTAAATCTGCACAGGGTACATTTCTCAGCCTAATCTCCACATATCCACCCAAAAAGAAGAAATAGAATTAAGATTCTGTTGGAGAGGAGGGTCACTTCTTTCATATCCCTTGTTTCAGGGGCCCAGAGAGAAGCAGGGTTTGACTTCAGAAGGGTTTAGGATTCCTGAAGTTGTACTTGCCTTGGATTTGCAAAAGCAGTGTTATTTGACAAGCGTATTGTTGGCCAGAGGAGGGGGTGGTTCAATGTACTTTTCTACCATGTATTACAAAACATACAAAAAAATATGATTTCAGTGTGCCATTTGTGTTTCAAGTAAAAGGCTCAAAGTCCTTACCAAAGTGTCAGCCAGGTCTTTCCGGTAGACATATATCCGACCAGATGCTTCAAGGGATTTGGAGATGGCCAAGTCATTTGGCTGAAGTTCATGTTTTTCTTTATTAAAAAAAGAGGGAGAGAGATTAGACACACAAGAACAGTGGTAGGCATACACAGTATATCTAAAAAGTGAAAACTGCCAAAGAAAAATATTTAAAAGCAAACAATATAGATTTAATTCAGTTCTGCATATTCTGTGCAATGGCACCAATGGGAGCATGGACATCACTGCTCACTACGCATAAAGTGGAAACCTCTTATCATTCCTTCTTATAATTTTTAGTCATTCTTTAGAATACAGACCAGTTTAGGGAAGAAAAGTAAAATTCACTCATAATCCCATCACTCTGAGAACCGTATAGAGGCTATTTTGATAACACTTGGGTCTATTTTTGTTCTGATCTTCACGTAAATGTGTATAACCAATACCCACACACATATACAATTGCAATTATTTATACATATGTGTTCAAAATTAGTATGGATACATACACACATATACATTTATAATTATTCTATATCTGGCTTTATATTCTGATTTTGCTATAAGCACTTATAACCACTTGTCAAAAATATTTAGGTATGTCATGTTTAATTGGTATATAACAGTCCATTATACCATCATTTCATCTTTCCTCTATTGTTGACCAATTTAATAGTTTTCAATATTTTTGTTATATAAATTAGATGGCAAGATATATGTAAATACTGGCACAGGGTGTGGCACATAACAAGGGCTTGATAAATGGGATCTATTATTATAGCAGTCATATACTCCTGAAGTCAACATCCTTATGCATAAATTTTTGGCTGCTTATAGATGATTTTTTAAAGATAGATTCCCAGTAATGGAATTACTAAATCAAAGGGGAATGAATATTTTTTAAAGTTGCTGATACAGGGGCGCTCGGGTGGCTCAGTCAGTTAAACGTCCAACTTTAGCTCAGATCATGATCTCATGGTTCTTGCGTTTGAGCCCCACATCGGGCTCTGCACTGACAGCGCAGGGCCTGCTTGGGATTCTGTCTCCCTCTCTCTCTGCCCCTCTCCACCTCAAAATAAATAAACTTAAGAAAAAATAAAGTTTCGGATACAAACTGCCCAATGGCTTTTGAATTCTTACACTGATCAACACTGATCATTACTGATGTTAAGTCTGCTATTCAGCTAAGACCAAAACTAGATTCTCAGTTTATTTTGTATTTCTTGACTACTAGTAAAGTGGAGTATTTTTCATATTTCCCTGATTACAAACTGTTCCTGTCCTTCAGTCATGTTTCTACCATCACTGGAGCTCTCTTATAACACAAAGCCTTCTTCATAGAAAAAAGTCCTCCTCGTAACTACAAATTACAGATGGGAATTGACTAAACCAATCTTCGAGTTCAGTGCACTTTAACATAATCAGCTTCTAAGTCAGCCTTTTCGTTACCAGCACGGTGGGGGAATGCAATATTCCACATACGTTTTTCTAGATAACTTAATCAGTTCAAAGGCCAAATTTTGTTTTGAACATTTCTGCTTAATACAGAGTACACAAATGATAATCCAATATATTCTTTATGGCCCAGCATTATAAAGATCAATAGCACTTTCATGTCAGGCTGCTGACGAGCATGGTAAATGGTCCCACTTGGCTGGCCTCTCAAGTTCTTCTGTCTCCCTCTTCCTCCAGCTGCAGTTTCTTACAACCTGTGTGTTCCTATGTCCACCTTATATCTGGATTTATGAGAGCCATTCTGCACTTGCTACGGAGTCAAATGCCATGGCTTTCTGATAGTAACTTTTCCATTTCCTGAGAAATATTTTTTTTTTTCTTATTTTCAGGTTTGTCACTGTACTATAAAAGATTAAGGGTCATAGAATTTTAAGCTCTGAATAACTAGGTAGGCAGATTTCTGTTACTACATACATATACCTTTCTCTAGGTACAAAATGACCCTGAAAGCTAGGAGGATAACAGCACTAGTCTTTTTAGAAAAATCCACAAAACCTACAACATTGCAACGTTTTTAAACTTCTTTTGACAAAAGAAAGTAAGAGTAGATCTCATTGTCATTTCATTTTGAAGTAGCATTTAAAACACTATTCACTGAAAATCAGGGAACTAGAGCAAGGAATATATTAAACTCTTCCCCCCTGCTTTTTCATAAAGCATTATTGTTTGGAGAATATTAAGCTACAGGCAGAAAGGTTCTTAACAGACAAAAGTACTAACTGGTGGAAAATGATGGCACAGTTCCACATCTGTGGGATAACTTAAGAGATAAGCTGATATTTCTAGCGAAGATTAGCACTGAGTCTATACACGTTACGACGACACTGGCCTCCCTGATGAATCTAATTTAATAGAGTGTAAAAATGGTATTTCATGGCCATCAAATAGATACTGAGTATTCAAAGAGCTACTCATTACTTCCCAGATTCACGTGTGGCCCTGGGTTGACTGTGAGTCACCCCCAAGGGAGATGGGTCTCAGTTGTGCTACCAAGTTCCTTCAGGGTCCTTCCTCCTGCAGAATGGGGACCTGGTGACTACTTTCTGTAATGGTACTGTCTTGAGGGAAGCTCAATACTGTTTGGAATAATTTAATATTTTTGGTCATTTAAAATGAAACATAATAGACATTTATCACATCTATCTGGAATGCCTGAAATATTTATTAAAAATTCGACCACTCTCCGATTAAAGTTCATGTAGTCCAGATGTTTCTCCCCCTTTTGCTCTTTTTCTCTAGATACTGTTTTGATGACGGGATGCACAATGAGGGCCCCTTGAGAGGGAAGGAGAGACTCTCATTAGGCCCAGGCAGAAGGCTATATTGGTTCGCATATGTAATCCACTAGCTTGTAGGACCATTTTACCTGCTTGTGAGTAACAAAGCAATAGAAGATTCTGTCACAGCAATGCTGTAACACCAGGTTAAACTCTGACATTCTTGTCCTTCCTCTAGGATGATAACAAAGGGTAAACAGGAATGCCAGTTATCTGCTCCTCCTCTCCCTCCGGCCCTATCTCTGGCTGATTAGTTCACACAGTACTTCCATTTTCCAACTACTGATGCTAAGTCACTTTCTTTTTATTTTTCTCAGGGTTAATGAGATATTAAATAAAGACTGTAAGCCAAATAGGGGGCCAGCAACATCGAGATCTGACCGGCCCCAGTGAAAATGGAGGGGTCTGTTCAGGTCACGTAGATCGATAGTGTGAGCTTGTAATCTGTGTGATCTTATTCAAAACAGACAATAAACCATTCTCTGAGGATAAATAAGGCCCAACAGAAGGAAAAGCTATAACCAGACCTCACTCCCCACGTCCACCTGAAGGAACATTGCCTGGGAGCTTTCAGCTTAGTGTGGGTTTTATTTCCTTCAACAGGGAGTCTTTTTAAGTATTAAACTGTCAGCCAGCAATATGACTAGGCTGTCTTTCTTTTTCCTTCCTAAAGTAATTTCATCCTTTAGCAATTTCCCAAGTTAATTTAAATATGAAAATAGAAGGCTTATCTAGAGTATAAAATATGAAAAGCTTTATATTTCAAAACAGTGGCATGCCTCTTTATTCAGTTCTTGGGGAGGAAATTCAGAATCCAACAGTACCCCACCGTTGTCATGGAAACACCTCTGGTAGGCGGCTTCTTATTGTTACTGTGGTCATCCAGCTGCGGACCCAGAAGGGGCAAGCTGCACATTCACTCTATAAAAATGTCGACTCTCCTTTCAGAGGAGATCTAGGGAAAGATTAATATTCCAGGACATAAAATCATTTACCCCCAGAGAATGCGACGGCCACCAGAGCCAGATCCTCTTCTGCGTGCTGGATCTTTTCTGCTACAACTTTCAGGATCTCATGTGCTGTACTGGAAACTTTTGCCTTCACACTTACATAGGAGTGCTCTGTTATATACACATGGCAAAAAACTGCACACAACAAAAGAAGGGTTAGTAAACAGATAACTGTAGTCAGGTACAGACTTTTTTCAAGTGAAGTCATCTACCTTACTATTCTCTTTAGTAGGAAACATACAGAACTAGATTTACATATTTATGTCTGCACCCAAGTGCCTGAAGGCATACATATATAAATGTGTGCTTGCACACACATGAGATGCAGACGTCATCAAGACCTGGTAAATGGACTTAGGCTTCCCAAACTGTAATGAGAGACCCATGTGATACAAGTGTGTGCTCATGGTGGAGATGGCCTGACCCCAGCACAGTAGCATTTGTGGTACACAAAGTATAATTTCTTTCAGCATTACTGAGCTTTCCCAAAGCAATATATTAAGGTACCTAACTAATAAATTTTTATGTGACATTCCACTTGTGGATAGTCACAGTGGCTCAATCGGGAATACTGCATTTTGCTGTTAGACTTCTCACAAGCTTATCGAAAAAAATCTGCCGGCTTGCCATGGTTTTTGTGCTCAGGTTTCTTGATCAGTTAATAATGATGTCCCTGAGCAAGATGGTGATGAGTATGGTTTCCAAACAGAAGTCCAGTTTGTAGCCCTTTAAGTTTCATTTTATTGTCTGCAGTGCAAATAATTATTACTAGGACATCATCACTATCAAGGTGAATCAGGGTCCTGGAAAAAAATTTCTTTATGATTTGATAGCAGAAATTGCTTAATAATACTGGAGATAATTGATACATTATTTGCTTCTTATCCCAGCTCTGAATGTATAAAACACTAGCTTCTTTCAAAAAGATAATACACTTAGGTATTCTTCTCTACCATTTTGCAAATTATTTCCACCATATTGCATATTATTTCTCATTTTATGTAAAAAAAATAAAGGGGGAGGGTGCATTTCCTAGAGAAATCTCATAAGCAATTTAAATGGCTCCACAAAAATAAACCCAGGATTGTTTCCACAGCAATGCAAATGAAGCAAAAAAAAAAAAAAAAAAAAAAAAAAAAAAAAAAAAAAAAAAAAAAAAAAAAAAAAAAAACAAAAAACCAAACAACTGTGAGTTTATGTGCATAAACCTCAAAGTAAATACGCCACCAGAAGGCACTGACAACATTTTGGTTTGGGTTCCATTGGGTAGGTCACTAAAACAATAGCATCTAACAAATAGCTGTTTTATGTATGTTGTCAACAGATTTGTGAGAGACACAAAGCTTTTTGCTTTCACAGAAAAATACAATTTTTGAACCAGACAAAATCCTGCAAAACTGCTAAATATGAGCGAAGTTTACAGCTTGCTTATTAATAAACTGAAACAAAAAGAGGCTGGGGGTCTGGAAATACGCTCTTTGAAACTCAGTTTGGGAAATTTTACGATTAAATTGTAAGACAAACAAGCATGGAGGGCCTGCAACTAAGGAATTAGGAGGTAAGCTAATTTTTTTTATGCTTCCACTTGTTATAGACCATATTTCTTATGCCCCAATACCAGCAGCATTATATACTAACACTACATAGCATAAGAAGCATCCATGTGACGTTTTGTTGTGTGTTGGAGAAGCTGAGCAGATATTAAATGTGCACACATAGAATTTCAGCACATACTGAGAAGTGGGCTAAAAGAGAATGTGTCTCAGTCACTATAGCATGAATGTTTCAATTCTGTTTCCCCAGGCTCTGCACTTCACTCAACCTTGGTGCAAACGGGAGGAAACCATTTCCTGTTCTGTTACAAGAGAGTAACACAGAATAGCGTGTAAGCACCTTCTGGGGGTTGCAAGGCTGTCTCCCCTGGTGCTGAGTGAGCAGCTGCCTTCAGGGTGGGTCACAAGCCCTCTCGCTGACCCTCTCACTGAGCAGCGCTGGCACAGGGTGCACGGGGCATGCGGCACTGCCCGGCACAGTCTGGCCACGCAGGGATTTCAGTGCATTTCCTTTCCTTCGCTATGCTCGCCAAGAGTTTCTTCTCTAAATCCCAGGGAATGACTCCGCCAATGTCCTGCACGGTGGCTTTAGTGGACTTTCTAGTCAGTCACAGGCAGTGGGCTGACAGATTATGGGAGAAAGCAGCTAAGAGGAAAAGGAAAATTCCCGGCAATTTTGCGCCTCTCCCTAAGAAAGTTGGGAAGCTCTTTTGCAGGCTCCTTTCCTTCCTTCTCAGATTGAAAATGTCCTTGGTCCCTGGGACACTGCTGTATGGTCAAGACAACTATAACACTCAAAGCAAGAAAATAAAAACCATCCTGTGGGGTCCTAAGGTGCTTGTCACAGGGTGTGACTGTTGGAAACGCTAAGGGCAGGCCGATGCATTACTGCTGGAGAGTGAGGGTGACTGACCTCTGCTCCACCCACCCCAAACCCTCACAAAATCATACTCACTTTCCTCTGTTTCAGTCACAGTTCCTCTATGCTGGAGCCAGTTCTCCTTAAGACTGAATTGGTGGAAAAGGGCTTTATTCTGTGAGAAGTGAGAAAGAGAACAATGAATGAATGCATTCCTGCCCTTTGGAAAAACCACAGCTGCTTACAGCATGTTCCAGAAGAGCTAGCCAATTTTTCTCTCCTTCTTTCCTTTTTTTTTTTCTTTTTAATATGAAACCCACCCATCCAATCTTAGAGGAATAAATAGGGAGTTGCCTCTATTAACGCATCGTGGAGGTGGAGATTCTGAGCAACAAGACAGATCCGGCCAAAGCCAGAAGCAGGCAAAAAGCCCCTATAATTATTCTAGCAACATGCTGGAGAGGGGTGGCATGATTTTCAAACTTTGGCTACTGCAAAAATCCATGTATTCTTCTCTAGACATCCCAACATCAACCGTGCTTGTGGATCAAGGAGTTCTGGATAAAGCAGGGGACAAAGTTGCATACTTCTGCTGTGGCACCATGACTTGCTTAAGGGAAATAAGTAGATTATTCATTGTAATTCTCCACTTGATAGATCAGCTTCTACAAAACCTGTGCCCGACAGTTCTTGGTGCATTTCCCCTTCAAGGTGAATAGGAAACACGTTCTTTCTTGCTACCATTTCTCCTTTTGTTGGGTTGAAAAGGGCAAAGCTTTTGCTTACTCGACTTCCTCATGCTTGCAGTCAAGATTCTTGCCTGCATTTTTTTTCTTTTTTCTTTTCCCATCAATATTTCAAATCCAAATTTATATGATTCTGGGAACAGTGGGGCAACCCTAAGACTCCAAAAATACTCAGAATGACAAGTCGAGGGCATATGGGTACAACCGGATCTGTACTAGCACAGGGAAACTGAAGTGAAGCAGGAAGGTGCTCGCAAGGTCTAGCCCCAGGCTTCCCTGCCTGCCCCTGTTCTGCTGGAGGCAGCACTCATTTTCATTATGAAGAAATGCCAGTGAGGCAAGGCAAGGTCTCCAAGCTTGATGGCCCCATTTCAGAGAGAGAGAGAGGTCTGCCTCACCTTCCTTTGTGGTGAATATTCATCTACAGTGCTGAAAGGAAAAAGAACAAGAAGTCAGTCTTTGTCCCAAACCCTGTGTAATGCAATGATTGTCACAGAAGACTACTTTTCAGGTACTGGGCAGAGGTTTTCTGCTTTTCAAAAAGATAAAACCCAGTATTCATTAGGTCACTAGGTAGAACACCCTTGACATTGGGCTCTGGATTTTAAGCGAACCAGGAAGAAAAGATGCCATCTACTCCACGGGCATATTTTACTTTCTACCCACAGAAAGTGAATGCTGAGGGAAGAACTGGATTTATTCAGTCCACAGAAACTCTTAAGTTTTCTCATATACTGATGGATTTTAAGTGAAATTATTGTGCTTCAGATAGTGAAGTCAACGCAAGGAGCATCTTTTCCAGAATGTTTCCCTGTGTGGTGGACATCCTGCAGGTCCCCAGCTCAAATCTTCTCCCAGAATTAAGAGATCATCTTCTACCAAAGAGGCAAGAGTCATACCTTATATCATTTTCTCATTTTAATTAATTATTTCACATTTTATGTAAGTTTTTTTAATGGGATATATCAAGTTCCATTAGTACATCTAATGCATGTAAATGTATTAAGCCATGAATTAAAGTTTCTCAAGGGTAACAAGGCCTGTCTTGCAGCAAAGAACAGCTTCCATATGGAGGATTATTCTGATGTAAAGGTTCTTTTTCTTTTCTGTTTCATGTGTTTGTTCACAATCTCATACTGCTCTTAGGTGATGGGGGCTTCTTGTGGTGTAGACTGTGACAAAGGAAGACCACCCAAATTTACAACACGTGTTTCTAACACCGTCCTAAACTGCATCTCATTTCTGAATTTCTAAGAGTGTGATTTTCACGATTGAGGACGAAAACTTCCACGTGATTTGTTTGTGCCCTAAAATTAATTTATATAGACACTTAATTTGCAACAGGATCTCTCTTTACTAAAATTAGGTCAGGCTTTAAATCTCAAATTAGTCATCTGAGAGGCCTGAATTAACATTTTCTCTGAGAAGTGCCTTTGTGACTTCTGAAATCTTAATAGAAGTTTCTCACAACTTGACACACATGTATTTCATGTTTACTATGTACAAACTACACTGTAAATCAGAGAACAGATTAACTTTGCAGCTGTATCTGAAAACTGAATAATGACTTGATGCTTTCATTTACCAAAATTAATAAGGAGGGTCAGTGGTTAAGTCAGGTATTGGCAACTTGAAAGACTAATGATAGATACCTCAGGGATACTTACACATGCCAAAAGTCATTGAGTAAATGTTTTTTTTTTACTCTTTCTAAACTGATAAAGAAACCTCAGGGAATCCATAAAATGGAGCTTTAAAAATGCTTCATGACTTGCTGAAACCTACCTATAAAATTTTTTTCCTTATTCCATCAGACATAGCTGTGAGCCCCCAAAACATCAAGTTAAATGTTTATATTTTTAACATTAAATAACTTATTAAATAATTGCTTTTATGTACGAAGGTTGTTATGGTTTCTACCGTATTAAAGAGGGTTAAACAAAATAGTCAACAACCTTAATTTTGTGTTCATTTTGATATAAAAACAAAATATACAATTTACTACAGAAAAGCTAAGGAATGAAGAAGGAATCCTGATTCAGGATGTTCAAGATGAATCTTAATGTTTTTTTTAATGTTTATTTATTTTAGAGAGGTGGGGAAGGGGCAGAGAGAGAGGGAGACACAGAATCCGAAGCAGGCTCCAGGTTCTGAGCTGTCAGCACAGAGCCCGATGCAGGGCCCAAACGCACGAACCATGAGATCATGACCTGAGCCGAAGTCGGATGCTTAAGCGACTGAGCCACCCAGGCATCCCTCAAGATGACCTTTATAAGACATCCAGGGTGCCTGGGTGGCTCAGCTGGTTAAGCATCTGACTTCGGCTCAGGTCATGATCTCATGGTTCGTGGGTTTGAGCCCCACATCGGGCTCTGTGCTGACAGCTAAGAGCCTGGAGCCTGCTTCGGATTCTGTGTCTGCCTCCCTCTCTGCCCCTCCCCTTCTCATTCTCTGTCTGTGTCTCTCAAAAATAAATAAATGTTTAAAAAAATTTCTAAAACATTCAAATTTGATCACACTTGCTGCTTTCTTTTATTAATGGCAATACAGAAAATGAAATACTCACTGACGACGGTGCATTCCAAGTATCTTTTGAAATTCTTTCAGTTCTTTTTCAAGTATTGGATATTCATACACATCATCCAGTACATTCCTGTATATGGTCTGGGGGGGGGGGGGAAGAAAAGTGGCAGCTGAAATGCCTATTCTGTAAGGATTAAGACTGAGACCATGGTTACCCTGCTGAGGGAACAGGTGGAAAGCAGGGTTATACAGGGGGTTAAACCAGACATCTGTGAGATGCTACGTGGGATTCTACCTCCTAGCCCCTCACTCAATTGTGTGGCTCCCTCACAGCTTTCAGGGGCTTTAAGTAATCAATGCTGGAAACTTACAGGTCTCTGGAAGGCTACTCAAGAGTTCCGTGCCTATTCTATATTAAAAAAAATAATATCCACATCGTCATTTAGGAGGGAAAAAAATCGATTAAATTCTATTACCTAGTTGTTTTGAAAATAACATTAGTTTAGGCAAAGAGTTGGTTAAACCAATTTTTAAGTGGATGTCTAAATGACATCTGAATTTTGAAATCAGAGTGATTTCCTTCATGAGAGGCAAAATCAGTTTGAACACTTGTCTGAAATAGACCTGCTCCCTGCTCGAATTTCCATTCTACTCCTTCTCTGTGTTAGCCTGTACAGCTAATATGGCTTTGGTGGCCAAGAATTCAATGGTCTACATATTGTCTCCAGAGAATCATCTGTGTGGAAAAGATATGGCAGCCTATGAACAATTAGAAAAATATATACATTTATCTAATTCCAAATGTAAGTCTAGGTTAGTACCCATTTTGCAAATTATTAGTGCATAAAATTCTCAAAATACATCATGGTCTGAAAAACTTTCATAATGCATGTATTGTCAATAGAGTTTTTAAATGATAAATCATTTTTCTTACCAAATATTGTATATGTGGGACTGGTTAGTTCAAACTTAGAGTAAATCTCAACGTATTAATACGGTCAAGTTTTCAAGTATGTTTTATTTTACCTACCTTAATTATTTTATCTGGAATCAAAATTCCCATGAATCATATAAAATAAACTTAAATGAGTGAATGTAAAACTAGCCCTTTCCATTTTTTCATAATGAATTCTTCACCATCAAAAAAATTTCTATGTGCAAAATATCAGGCCTCAAAAATCAAGACATTAATATTTTGAGTCACAGCTTGAACATTACATAAAAGTTGAATGACTAGAATCTACAAATGAGATTTTTTGAAATGCATAAATGAAAATAAAATCAGTCATTTGGCATCAGATAATATCTGGAAGTCACCAGATTACCTTTAAGAACATTTTGGAATGTTCGTCTTCATGTAACCAGTCTTTGTATAGAGCAATCCACTGGGACACGAGATGTAAGACCTTCCGTTTCCGACAAGGAACATCTGAGTTTTCTTCTTTGCCTTGATACTTCTTAGCAGAATAGGTGCAAATGGTTAAGAAAGAATATTGCGTTCTTGGAAGTAAAAATATAAAGAGATCTATCTACTGTTTTCTCAAAATATGCTAAATCGTTTTCCAAAGAATCTACAAGTATCTAAGCATGCCGGAGGAAAAGTATATGTGTAGGAAGAGCAAAAGTTATGCACTGGAAAGAGCTAAAGTAAGTAAACCCAGGAAATGATTTCTATGCACTTGGTGGCAGGTCGTGAAGGTTAATTAGATGATTTGCACTGATAGATGCTGACACAGTTCCATACAGCAGCATGGGTCAATGTCACCATGAAGAGATTCTAAGAGACCAATGAATTTCTTTTTTTTTTTATTTAAAATTTTTTAATGTTTATTTATTTTTGAGAGAGACAGAGACAGAATGCGAGTGGGTTAGGGGCAGAGAGAGAGGGAGACACAGAATCTGAAGCAGGCTCCAGGCTCTGAGCTGTCTGCACAGAGCCC